GGATCAGAAGGCTGTGCATTGGGAGTCAGCCTTGACAAGGCCTCAGGGCGAGTTCACAATGGACAAGTTCACAGAGAGCAGACAAGCAGTCTGATGTAACCGCTGGAAATGGTGCTGGTCTGCTGGTGGAACGCAGCGCATCTCCGCGGAGTTGGTGAGGCCAGGCGGAGCGGCAGCCCCTCTCACTTACTGGACTGGCTGGGATCCCGTGGCGCCAGGTACTCCTTGTACATGGAGTAGATCACCCCTGCGGAGAGAGGGCAGCGCTCAGGCCTGGGCAGCAGGGGCACTGCGGAGAGGTCAGGGGTGGGCGGGGGGCTCCCAGCTCCCAGCTCCCTGAGGCCCCTTAGTTACTTCATGCAGGTTTTCCTGGGAATGCCAAGGCGGGCATCGTCCCATCGTCCGACAGACCGACAGTGAACAGGAGGGGGCGATCTGTAGAAATGATTCAGAAAAGGGCGGAATCTGCTCCAGCTGCCCGCTGCAGCTCCCAGCAGCCCCGAGGCACAGGGGAAGGCAACGACACCCTGGCATGTGTAACAGGCCCTCCGCAGAGCGCGGGAGCAGGGAGGGAGAGATGGCGAGGGGCTCACCCACAGCCGTTTGTCTCGCAGTACAGACTTTACCCCCCACCCCACTCACCCAGCGTCACGGCGCCCACCACGAAGCCCTGCGCGGCCACTCGCATGTGGATCAGGTGGACGGACATCTTCATGCTGCCCCGAGACTTCAGCCGGTACAGCCCGTACGCCACCACTCCCGCGAAGCCCGCCATGCCTGGAGAGGACACACGCAGTCAGCCACACATGGAGATCCCACACCACCCCCGGGGGTCAGGGGTCAGAGGTCAGGGGTCAGAGTCCGTCACCACGGCAGCACAGTTGCAACATCTCATATCGGGCTCGGAACCGCTAGAGCCCAGGCCCGGGGACACCCAGTACAAGGCTGGTAGCACAGAACCGAGCCAGGGCCCTCAGTCCTCAGAGCTGGCTCAGTAGCCTGGGCACCTGGCTCAGTTCATGGTGTGTTACAGGTGGTGTATTATGATGTACAAAGTGCTGTGGTCTTGTGTGGAGTGTGAGCTCTCAGTATCTCCCAAGTACAAGAATAATACGCTCCCTGAACACACACAGGGCCTGGGCACAGAGCACCACAGGACCAGAGACACACTCCCTGAACACACAGAGCACTGCAGGACCAGAGACACCCTTCCTGAACACACACAGAGCACTGCACACCCTCCCTGAACACACACAGAGTACCACAGGACCAGGGACACCTTCCCTGAACACACACAGAGCACTGCACACCCTCCCTGAACACACACAGAG